TATATAAATTATTACTTGATGGCAAACTGATATATTTCAGCATTACAAGTTGCATTAATAGTCTCTTCAAACAACTTTGGACCTAGTGAGTTTGAATGGGTTGAACAAATGTGTAGTCACTTATGCATTCTGGTAGTTTTATTCATCATGATTCTAATATCTTTCTAGACTCTGTACTATACAGTACTTAGAAAAAAAAACTTTTTTGCTGAGATTCTCTGCAGGAGAAAATGTACAGATGACTTGTTTTAAACTTCAGAACTAAGAATAGGGATTTGTGCATAATTGAATTAACTACTTAATCAAATAGAAGTTAACAGCAATGACAAGTTCTGAATTTCATTGTTCGGAATAGATCAACACATATTTCTTTCTAAAAAAAACTTTTATCAAGATCGGTTTTTTTAATAGAAGACAACCATGTAATAATGTTAAGATTTGCAAAGACTTAGGATGAAGATATATATAAAACACAGTTTTGTTTTGTTTTTAAGTGGAATTGCTTTTGAAGGCACTTTGCTGCGTTCAGTCAGTCTCTTCTTTTTTTTGAAAGAATGCTAGGGGAAATGTACAATATGTCAGGAACAGCTTCTCATAGGCAGTACACATTGGACAATACCCATGTGTTATCAAGAATCTTCTGACAACTATTTTATGCTTTAACACAAAGTAAAGAATAATAAAAGTGGTCAGCTGAATTTACTAGAATGGAGAGGAGTAGGTTAAGACAGCAAGTGGTTAACTGATATGCATATAGTTATTAATTTATTTGATTTACATCCTATCTGTCTGACAATCAAGGTGGCTAACAAATTTTAAACTAATATATATTAAAAATACAGATTAAAATCAACAATAAAACTCTTAAACTAATAGTTACAAACCTGGCAAAAAAGTAGTATCTTTACAAATTTCCTCAACATTGAGTTGGTGGGGACCAAACCCAATTTTTGATAGAATACATTCCATTGCTGAGGAGCAGTGCAACAGAAAGGCTTCCCTTGTGTGCCAGAAAGATGAGCCTCTGACAATGGGGGCATCTTTAAGAGACTTCTGCCAATATTAACATGTTGGTAATATGAGAGCCAGTTTCCTAGATACTCAGGCCCTAAAGCCATTTAGATTTTGACTGGTAAGTGGTAGGCATCTACGGCAGATATAACATAATCCAAGGTGTGAACAACTGTTACCAAATCCAGTTAGCTCAGGAAGGAATACAACTGGTACACCAGACCTATATGAAGGCATTTTTCTCAATTGAGAAGCAGGTTGAAGCCAGGTCTTTCTGTATCTGACTGCTTGTTGTAAATTGCTTTTATATTACATCATTGTTAACACATATTTCCATTAAGACAAATGCTTCTGCAACTGTTCTCCACAATTGACTTATGAAATTAACATTTGAACTTTGAGATTAACCTTTATGCTACTTTAAATATCCAGCTAAAAATGACATAGCCAAGGAGTACTTCAGTGTAAGGTCTGGTATTGTCATCATGTGCTGTTGCCTGCTCCGGCAAGATAGAGAGTTCTAGTATCTTGGATTAAGGTATCTTGAATCTCACTGCTACTCTTTTTGCTGAAGAATTCAATGAAAGATTAAATGACTTCATGTGCAATGTAGGAAGATAGACTGGATAATATGCAGAAACTGAACTGGAGTAGCAGATTTTGTTGCCATACTCATCCTCTCTTAAATCGAGGTACATTGTTCATAAAGCAAATACTTGAAGCAATACCCCCCATGAATACCTCATTTTTCCCTGAATTAAAAAATCAGCAGCAACAGCATTTATTTATTTTTTATTTAGTTATATTTCAGATTTGTCACCGCCCATCTCACTGCAGAGCATCCTCGTTCTCTTTTGTTATATCTATCAGCTCCTAGGTATATGCAAAATTCCATGTTCAGATTCTGGAATTTTCCACTGTTTTTTGGAATGCCATGTTTTTCTTTCAAAATGTGCACATTTGGCCATTCTTGGGGTGCATCATCATTTTCTGAAAATGAATCTTCTGCAACAAGTGGTAGACTGTTCAGGCAGCCTGGTTTTACATCATGTTACTTTCCTTTGAGAGCCAGTTTGGTGTACCGGTTAAGGCATCAGGCTAGAAACCACGAGACTGTGAGTTCTAGTCTTGCCTAGGCATAAAGCCAGCTGGGTGACCTTGAACCAGTCACTTTCTCTTAGCCCTAGGAAGGAGGCAGTGGCAACCCACTTCTGAAAAACCTTGCCAAGAAAACTGCAGGGACTTGTCCAGGCAGTCTTCAAGAACCGGATGCAATTGAATTAAAAAAAACAAAAAACTTTCCTTTAGATTAATGAATGTGTGTTTTTGGTTTCTTGAATTCCATTCATAGAAAATTCTTCAATGTCAATAGGAAAATAAAATTAAATGGGTGTCTTTTAAAGTTGTCAACAGTTTCTGTTACAGTATTCAGTCTTTAACCATAATATGCAAGATTAAGGTTGGTGTTTTTTTTTTAAGACAATGATTGTCATCATTGCTGCAACTGGTGTTAACTCACCATTATATTCAGTAATAAAAATTAAAATAGTATTGGTGTCTTGTACTTTATTTATATTAGGCTTTTTTTTTCTTTAAACACATTCTGTTGTATTGTAAAATATTTTTTTTCTTTGGTTATTTTCAATATGACTGGTCATAGACTGTAATAAATGTTGTATAACTGATATTTGGTTTTATGCATACAGCTTTGAGGTATAGAATGAAAGTTTCATTGGTTCCAAAAGTGCTTAGTTTAAATTTTGTACTTTATTCAGGAAGCCTGCACTTCTGCATGTGATGCAAATTTAATATAGAATTTATGCTACACTATTCAGAAAAAAAGAACATTTCAGCATGGCTTTTAGCTGTTGCTTATGGTTCCAAATTTAATGAATAGAGGAACACTTTGTAGATACTATCAAACTTCATAAACATTTTTGCAGAGATTTTATACTGAAAACTGGAATTGTTTGGAGACATCAGAATTTTTATCGTCTCATTATGTACTATTTAGACAGTGATCTTATGTAATTCTTTCAGGTGAAATGAAATGCTATACAGGAGGCTTTGTATTGTGTATGCAGATACTTCTGTGTTTGAAGCAAAATTTGGAGGTGTTTGAATCTAATGATATGTAGTTCTATAACACTATTATACAATTTTTTTTAACATATGGGTATGAAACAATGTCATGCATATATTTTTATGTGGAAAGGTTGTGTTTGAGGAACCTCTGAAAAGGCAGTCACAGGGGTAGCAAAGAAAGAAGCAAAATGGAACATATCTCACTCAAAATAGCTGAAGTATAGAGACTTTTGGACGATTTGCTAAAATCAGTTTGATTACCAGTCAAGACCAGGTCTTCCACTAAAGCTGTCAAATAGATTCCAGAGAAGCCATTCAAGAAGTCTCCTATTTGATGACTTAGTGGAAAATTGGCCTTTACTAGTAATGTCATGACTGGCAAATTCCTTTAAGTAAATATGTCCACAGTTCTAGTAATGCTTAATTTTGTATATCCATTCTTCTGGTAAGAATAGAAATACCAATACATCAGAATTTATAATAAATTATTAGCTAATGCTTTAAATTACTATCTAATACAATCTCTGTAATAGACTTCCATATAAAGACCTGACTTTATCAGGTACTTTTGTACCTAATTGGTACAAAAAATAAATCTGTGTTGTTTTAATCAGAAAATGGCTTGACTTGACTACTGTACTCAGTTCTTTTGAGTAGTCTTACTAGATGCATCGGATAAGGACTTAGGTTACCTGGAGTTTAAGTTGGAAGACAGTTGGATAAGAATCAGACACCTCATGGAACTATGCACTCATACCAGGTCTATTCTGTGTATTCCTGATATTCTTATATGCAGCTTATATACAAGAAGCAACTCTGCTCAGTTAACAATGACCAGTTATGTGATACTGTCTGACACGGATATCTCTGCAAATGAGTAACAATACTGGGGAAGCAAGTGCTAGGGTGAATAAGATCCTTCAAACAATAATGTTTTCCCTGTTTCAGAAAATTGTTATAATTTGCACAGAAAGAAGTGAATAAATTTTTGCATGCCATAACCACACATTCTCTTTGTTAATAAAGACAAGAGGAAGTTAGTGGTGATGAATGACATAAATACAATTGGTTGCAGCAATATCAATTACAATTATTTATTTTGAAATAGACCAAATAGAGTAGCAAAATTCACAGTGCTCTTTCCAAGTGAAGGTGGGTACCTCCTCTAACTTAGCCTTGTGGATTAGTTTACCTCAGTATTGCAGGGCAATTTTGAACATGCAAACAACTTACTTTTCAAAGTGCAAACTACAGTTTGGAGTATCAAATCATTTCTATAATGCACCACTGTTCAAAGAAAGTCCTATAGGTTGATAGTAGAATTAACTTGCTGAAGACTGATTATAAGATCTGGCAGTTTGCTACTCGGTTCAGGAAACAGGATTGCTTGTTTCAGACAGGATTGCTTGTTTCAAACAAAATAAAGTCACACAATAATACAAAGTTTATGTTGTCTATAATGAAAGCATTTCAGAGAATGATTACATATTCCTCACGCGCTGGATGTCATGCACTAATTTCAGATGCTGCTCCTAGAGGTGGCAAACCATTTCTGCATTGTTGCTGAGAAAGGCACAAAAATGTGTCCACGTAGTCACCAGGAGATGAGTTCAAATCATTGGAATCTTTTTATTGAATCAAGATACATGTTCAGTTCTTATACCATCTATCTGAACCAGCCATAGTGTGTAGTGTTACATGTAATTTGGGTATTTTTGCATAGTGTTTTCAACTCTGATATGTTCATTGTGATTGTACAAAAAGAGTGGACCATAGTTCTGGTAGGTTTAAAAACGGTTGTAATACAAGTGGCATACCTCTCCTAGATACATTGCAAAATAGTTCAATATTAGTATAATTTCAGTTTAAAACAATTTTAAATTATTATTTCTCTTCTTTCTTAGAGGTTTGCTGAGGTCTGGAAAAATGGCAGACATTGACAAGTAAGCATAGGGGTTTTTTTTCCATTTTGATTGAAGCGCTGTTAATTTTTGAAAGGGCTAAGATCAGCAAAATGCATCCTAAACCTTCACTTTGGTGTGTGTCACATTAATGCCAGATTCAGAGCTGTTAAGCATATTTGTTTGTATATGTTCTATAGTAATGCATTTACATGTTTGCAAGTAATGTATTTTAAATTCTAAGAGTTGGTTCAGACACGTCATCTAGTTAGTGGTTTGTTTCATAAAAGGATAAATAGAGAGATTTTCTCTCTGTCACATAGCTAATGCCATATGATTGATTAATGTGGAGATCCAGACATATGGATATTGATCTGCACAGTTGCAGATGCATGCATGACCATTGAACATCTGTATCATAACTCAGTTCTCATATAGAACAAAGGAACAGTATGTTCTCTTCCACCACTGTGTAAATAAATTGCTTTTTTACTAAATATATGTATTTGATCTGAACACATATTGTGCTACAGTACTATTTAGTGATCATAGATGCTTTCAGTATTTGCTTGGTTGATAGATGCCTCAGATGAACAAATTCTGCAAAATTAAGTTGATAAATTTGCTGTAGAATGTAGATTGTCCCTAGTTTAGGGATTTGAGTACATAACTCTGATATTAACCATAGAAACCTCAGACCTGAAATAGGAATAGAACCTTCACAATAGATTTTATTAGGATAGGGCAGTGCTTTGGATTCAATTCTGAAAAGGTTGCTTTGGAGTGTACAAGGGTGCACACCTTACACCTTTCTCCTTAAAGCAGTTGTGTCTTTCCTCAGGACTGTGTGACTGTTTTGAGATGCTATTTGTGTCCACTGCATGCTTTAAAGCACCTTTTTAGAATCAAATTCAAAGCAGCGCATAGCCCTAATTTTTATAAGCAGCCTAATCATTCTCAAGACAAGTAAAACCAGCATACTTGTTTTAAGACTGTTCACTCTTCAATTAAAATTAGACTGATTTGTTAAAAACTAATGTATTTATTACATCACTACGTTACACAATATAATGATTATTCATTACCATTTCTATATTGCTTGCACAAAGCTATTTGAAGTAATAATGAGTCTTTTTATTCTTGGACATACAATTCTAGATACAAAATTTTTCTAACATTTTTCTGTGTTTCTTCGAATACCATAGCAATCATTAAATTTTATAGTGCCTGAGAATATCTACATGTAATAATGTTAAACTTGCTTAAATGCATATTTTGCTTTATCCTGAGGATTCTTGCTGGCTAGCGGTAATTAAGTAATGATAATAACATGCAATCATAAAGATAAGATTGTTATCCTTTAAGAATTCAATATAAATATAGAACATGTGAATAGAAGAAGAGAATGCAGGTTAGATATGGATATAGTAAAATGTCATTGTTTTGTTCCCTTGAGGTATAAGTACAAAGTGCAAAGTAGAGAATATGACATGCCTTAAGTTCTGCTCCAGTGAGAACAGGATGTCAGATTCATGTTCTTGTGTACATTTTAAAAATTCTGTTCTGAAACCAGTAACATTATGCTTGACCTGACTCTTTGCTCTTCATTCTGGTCAATAATGCTAAATTGGAATGACAATGTCTTATTTGTTCTTAAAAATGTCAGTTACAGTTGTTTTGTGTGCCAAAGGCAAGGCGATGTACGTTTGGAGAATATAAACAGGGGAAAAGTGCAGTTAGAGTAACTGGAATGCATAAATATTCAAATGAATGTTGTACTGCAAGTACAAATTCCAGTAATATCTATAATTTTTGGCACTTAGGTTCTTTATGTAGCTGTCAGTTATATAGTGCTGTGAACCTCAGTCCTGATGTATATTGCAGTATAATGCAAATTTGCATCATGTGACCTTTTTGCAGGGCAGATATGCTGAGTCATCTAGCACCAAAGAGCTTGAGAAGTGTCTCCTTTCTATTAATATTTATACATTTTAATTCTTTAATACAATTACTTCTTAAATGATCACATATATATTATTTTGAAGTTTTTAATTGTAGAAGCTCATCACATGCACAATATGTACACTGTACCTAAAATAATCCCAGTGTCCTCAACTGAAACACATTTAATTGCAAATTATCCTTGGGTTCCATAAGTGGAACAGGGATGTTTCCCCTTTTTGTCACTGTTGGTTCTTAATGTTGAAGCAGAACACTGATCAGAGAGAATCCTATGGTTTTTGCATTAAGAAAATTGATTCGAAAGACTTTAGCTTCTGGATATATTCTGATTAGAATGTTGATAACATAGTGTATTTGAAGTGTTAACTTTTAAGAAAAATTAAAAATTTGGTTAACAAGTTGAAAACTCTTGGTTTGAATAGCAAAGAACAGGCTGAGCTTGACCAGCAAGATATGGAAGATGTTGAAGAAGTAGAAGAAGAAGAATCTGGTGAGGATGCTAATAGTAAAGGTAAGGGCAGAAACAAGAAGCTGTTTGTGAGTACTGTAAATATAAAAATGGTTTTCACAGTGCAGTATGAAACCTAATAAAGTAAACACCTGTTAGTGGTGTAGCGGGGGAAAACACCTTGGAAAATGCAGTGTTTGCCTTCTTTTTTTAGGTCACAATAATCTACTTGCTAATTAATATTTATGAAAAGTACTTTTTTTTAATTAAGAGGTTTTCTGTTGTAGATCTATGTTTTACTTCTAAGTAAGCTCCTGTCAGCCTTACGAGGTAGACCAGACAAGAAACACGACCAGATGAGCTAAATCTGTTTTACCTAAGGTTACATTAACAGAATCTTGCAAGTACTCCCCTCCCCCCCCATGTCCTTTATAGCCCAAGAAACTAGGGAGGGTCTCTTCTGGAGCCTCTTGCCTGGCCTGCAGGCTTGTGCTGCAGGCTAAGCTGCTGTTTATCTGACCGTTCCCTTGGCTGCATCTCGTTGCCCTGTCTCCCAAGGTCATTCCCACATAACATTACAGCTCCCCTGAATACAGTAGGCCTTATTTCTATGTAAATACACATAGGATTTCACTTTTAAAAATATGCACACATTAAAATGTAACATTTCTCATAAACATACAGAACTTTGTGGATTTAGTTTGCTTATGGGGTGGCTGTGCCGTTAGTTTTATGTGTGTGAAGACAGCATCTGTGCTCAATGGTTAGAAGAATTCTATTGTTTTCCTCTACAAAAAGCAAAGTAGCAAGAGTAAATGCAAAAATTACACAAGGTATGTGGTGGCTGGGAACATGTATGTTAGATTTCTGAAATACTATAGAAGTCGACAGTGAGTAAAATTTTGAAAGTACAGTCTGCTCTGCTGTACAAAAGTTATAAGGATCAGATTTTTGTTCTGCAGCAGGTCATTAAGAAATTTATGAATGTGAGATGGAGAGTTTATTGTATGACTGTTGATTCAGAGGATGTATAATAATAACAGTAGATTGAATTATAGGCTGCTTTTTATAGATACAAAGGTCAGTTGCTGTAAGAGCTTATGGGGAAATAAAGTATCTCTGAGAATAAATGGAGTGCTTCACAAATTATTTAACAGAAGAGGGAGTAAGGAAAAAAAGCATGATGCTCATTTGATTATTTAATGTATTAATGTAAAGGAATGCTTGTGGTATTGGTAGAGGATGTGAATGTGCAAACATTTATTTGTAGATAAAGCAATATTGTTGGCTGAGAGCCTGAATGAATTGCAGCAAATGTTAAGTTGTATGATGCAACAAGGAATATAGTTCTGAAAATGTAATAATATATCAGAGACCAAGTAGTTGTGTTTAACAGGGAAATGGAGTAAATGATTCCAAGTTATACATAAATGTCAAAAACCTAGAGCATGTAGATGTATTGGTGTACCTTGGTAAAATGTTTATTTAAACATAAGAGATGAATGGAGAAGTTTCAAGATGTGCAAATGCTGGTAGAAAGGTTTTGGATGTATGTAGTCTGCTGTGATGAATGAATTTATCAAAAGAAGCAAAAATGGCTACATGAGGTCTTGCTTCTGCCCACCTTCTTATATTAAGTAAGAGCTGGGTATGCTGGTAGAAACATAAAAGTAAGTTGATGAGGTGAGAATTAGTTATTTAAGAAGTTAATGTGGTACAAAGGAGAAGGTCAATCATGAATGGTTGTTATATGAATGTTGATTGAATTTAAAAATATGTGACCAGTACTAAATAAGTATGTTGAAGTGGTTTGGCCATATAGTGAGAATTTATGAGTACTAAACAACAAAACAAATATATGAAGGACAAATGATTAGATGGAGAAGAAGGGAAGACTAAGGAAGTTGTGGTTGGATAGAATTTATGAGATCATCAGAAAAAGAGCTGAGAGAAGTCAGTAGGTAAAGAGGTATTCGAAAGTGATAGAAGCAGTGACAGTTTTACAAGGACAGAAAGATATGGAGAAGTATAATAAATGCTGAGAGTGTAAACTAGATTTAACAGTATTTTCTTTTCCTTAATCTCAGGCCTTAATTTACTTTCATTAGTATTTCTAACTCTTTTTTGCACTTCACATAACCTGAAAGGGAATAGTGTAATAGGTATTTATACATGGATGGTTTCTGCAACTAGCATGCACAGTTTAAGAGCACTTACAACAGTAATTTATTTTGCTTTTATGTCTAGCACTGAATATAGCTTCTATATATTATCTCACTAGCTAAATCAGCGAGCAGGTAGTGAGGGGAAACGTATTTATGATATTTATGTTGTGTTATTTATTGAAAGATACAGGGGTAAAAGTATTTTATAGTAGTTTTTTTAAAAAAACAAATCTGTTTTGTTTTGTTCAGCACGCCAACTGACTGTACAAATGATGCAGAATCCTCAGATTCTTGCAGCTCTCCAGGAAAGGCTTGATGGCCTAGTTGGAACACCTACAGGATATATAGAAAGGTACAGTACAGTATGTTATTTTGCTGTCTTACCTTTCTTGATCAGTTAATTTTTTTTGTGTAATGCCACATAATCATTTGGCAAAATAATGAAAGGAATGTGTCCTTATGTGTAATGTTAAATTGGAAAAAGTAATCTGTTTCAGAGAAACTGTCACAATTGATGGTTTAGAAAAGAACAGTCTGCAGTCCTGTACAGGCTTCCTCGGAAACAAGTATTTAACCCAGTGAGACTTTTTGGTGAATCTATATAGGATTCCACTGATAACATTGAGAAGCACAGTATGTGGTTTTCTTTGTGAAAGATGGCGAGAAGGATATGTGAGATATGACAATTATAGGTTTGTACAATCTGTAATTAAATACATTACAATTATATGTCTGCTTCCTGTTTTCTTTGACTTGCAAAATGTAATGCTTTCTTTGAAATGTTTATTCTGCTTTGCTGTTTCTGTTGCTTTGCTTGATTTTTCATGGATTGCTTCACATATTTGGAAAAAAAACCTTGTTCTAAAATAGAAAAAGGTTAATCATTTTGGTAATATGAATATATAAGAGTGTGAAATACTGTCTATATTTCTCAAAATGCAGACATTCCATAATACTTTGTATTTAAGAAATATAATTGGATGCAACTGCTGCATTATCCAGATCCACATTCTGCTTATATTCTAGCCAGTATAGTAAGTTTATTAGGCAGTACACATCTTTATCCATCAGGAGACATATTCTCTTCAGGATTGAGTGTTGAGAATTAAGTGCTTCCAAGTTCTCTAGGTCTGTTTCTTGTTTTATCCCTTCTTACTTCACTCTCACTCGAAAATCTTAAAGTGTAAGTGATACTAAAACATTGCCCAACATTTTTTATTCATTCTCACATCACCAAGTTCTCCATGTCTGTCTTTGCATGTTTTCCATATCTGTTGCCTTTTTGTAATAAGAATCAGTTGGGGAGAGTTGCTATTTCAAGGCATGCAAGGCTCTCAATATAATGTGTTAGTAGAATAGTAAGGAAAATGTAGTTGTGGAACCGCCTGTCAGAGTTAAAGGTGGCAGAGCAGCACTGGAATAAGAGGCTACTGGTCAGGGTAAGGTAGTTCTTACCTTGTCCTGGTTTAGATCACAGATGTGTATCCTTGTTCTGGTAAGACACTCATCACTAACCCTAATAGGGGGACATCTAGAAGATCCTTAACTCCAAGCTTCTGTTCTTGAAACTTTTCTCAGGTGTGACAATTATATAATCATGCTTGTAAAACTATATCACACTACACTTGATCTTATTCAAGAGGCATAGAAGCAATGTCTGGAAAACTGGACTAAGAAGTCTTTGCTAAAATAGGCTGTTTTACATTGTGCATGTGTAGAGATTCATCTTTTTTCCATCTGGTTTTCCCCCCCTTGCTGCAAACAGTCTTTTAGCTACCCTCTACCTTCTCTTATAGAATCCTAACATGAAAAATAGTTGAGGTGGGTTGACAAAGTACAGTATCAGCAGAAATAATCAAATCTTCCTCCCAATTGTTTTCCTAAGATCATGGCATCTGAAGCTATTTTTTCTGAATACATCCATTTGTGCATAATATATATTTTGATCTTTACAGTTTACTTTGCTAGTCATAATTGATCTTAGATCTGCTGTGATCTTGCTTTCTTTCTCTCTCACAGCATATTTAAGTAACCTCTGCTAATCTGAAAAGTCCTTGACCCAAGATCAGTAAGTTCTTACTGGGTTTAATGATGCTGCTTTCAGTGAAATACTATACCTTTTGAGAAAGTTACAGAAGCTTGCTTTTTATTACAAGTAAAAATTATATAGCATGTCAGCTATGCCAGTTTGAAGATAATTAAATTAACAAGAATAATGTATAGAATGTTGTTTAATTTTGCATGTTCACTTGATTTTAAAAGATTTTTACAGGTGTATTTTGCATGTCTTAATTAAACAAATCTGATCTAATTGTTTACACATAGAAGATATGTTCTTGATTAAATCAAATCAAGCAATTTCTCCCCTTCCAATATTCTAGCCTTAGAACCATCTATTAAAAATCTTTCTTAAATTACAGACATAGCATTTTTAAAGAGGTACTTCAGTCCTCTTAAGAACTTGTTACTTTAACTTGTTTTACTTATCAGTTTTATCCTATGTCTATTTAATTTGCATTAGAGATAGTATTTTGCCATGAGACTTTTTTGCTATATTTATTACACTAAAAGCATTTTGCTCTGCTATGCAACTTTACTACTTGTCTGCCACTTTCCTCTGAATAGCAGGTAGGGGTGTAATTAGCTGGCTCACTTACAATTGAATAGCAAGTATTCTGTTAAATTCTTTTCACAGTTAAAAGCCAAGTTGTATAAAACATTGCATGTTGAATGGTATTTGATTCCTTAAGAGGCTGATAACAAATGATTCTGTGATAGTTTGGGAGAGGGCTATGCAGCAGTATGATCTTTGATGAGACCTATAGCTCTTTTTGTTACCCCATTTCTAATTTAACTGCTATGGATTCCTACTTTTACCACTGCAGGTTTGGTAGTCCCTTTTTATAAATGATTGCCCAGATATTGGCATTCTATTGGTAAACTGGGATTTAAATGTCTTCTTAAAATATATTTTCATAGACCAAAAAAAGTTGTGCTGGTAAGTAAGAAAAGAGAGTAATGGTCCAATGGTGACTGATATAGGAAGAAAAGAGCCTGCTGATAACTCTCCTGAATTTCTGTTGTATTCTCTGTTCTCGTTGTTCCAGCTCTAGAAATTAATAACTTTTTATCATGAAGGAATAGTATTTCTGCATATGTTAATTAGGAAAATAGGCTTATAAGAATTGATTTCCATTGAAAGATATGCATGTCTGAGCATGAAGCACAGCATCTCCAGCTTTGTAACAAGTATCAAAATGTTTAAGCCCATTTTAAACTGTTGTTGATGGATGCAATATGAAAAAACAAATATTTTTGTTGAGTAGAACCTATTCTTGGCAACAATTTCCTCCAGTTTGACCTAGCTTATACAGCATTTAAACAATACTAGAGAAATACAATTGTTTCATTAAAGGATTTTGTTAAAAATACTTTGCTTTTACAATTTATGTTTTACTAATATAAATATATTTAATATGGGTATTAATATAAATTTAATATGAACATTCATGAATTATATGTTATGTAATAAATGTGTGAACATATTTTGGCATACCCCTTTTTTCTCTTAATTGTTAAATCCATTTTGTGACACACCCACAGGCATGCATGCACCTACCTTTTGGGGTTATGAATCACTAGTCAAAATTTGTTCTATAGGGCCCTAAAGCCATAAATAATAAATTGCAGATGGTCAAGAGAAAAATTTCAACAGCAATCAACACGATGCTTACTATGTGATTTAAGGCAAAAAGTGATTGTTATAAACAGTATAGGAGCAAAAGCAGTTATAGAAAGGAATTTTGATGAATAACTCAAAAATCAGTGCTTATTAGATTGCTTCTTGCATTAGTTACTGAGTACAGGAGCATGAATCTATTAGCCAAGTGAGCAAAAATTTTTGTTTATTCCTATTAAATATGTCAGTTTCCAGTGTAATTATTTACCAATTGGCATGTTTATGATTGCAACCTGAACTTCATACAGTCTACAGAGATGTTGCTGTGCTAAAGTAGCCTCTATTTGCTTACTTTTTTTTTTTCATTATAGAGGAAAATTGCTCTTTCCTGTTTTAAATACTCTTAACAGCAAAACATATTCTCACTTCTGCATTTTGCTAATGTTTTTATATAGTACATTGCTATTTCGCCTCTCTTGATTTTTTTGAGGGGGAATTGTATTTCAAAATGTTTTCCACTACAAATCATTACTATATGAGCTTACCTGTTGCAGATTTCTAAGAGAAGCTATTATCTTGGCAACTAAACTGCGAAGTAGAGAAAAGTATAGCTTTCAAGCACTCCTGTAGTATTAACATAGCGTCATATCCAGCACTGAATAGCTTTTTTGATAAAGTACATCTGCTAATACTGTCTATTTTAGATTCATGTAACTTTTTTTAAATTTAAACCTGGCTAAAATATTTTTTCTCTAGAGATTAAACTGTTTTGAAAATACAGTGGTACCTCGGGATACAAACTTAATCCGTTCCGTGACTCTGGGCGTATCCCGA